CCGCGATGCTCCAGCTGCTTTGTGGAGTGTCGCGTGCAGGCGCCGTACGCTCCGTGCACATGCGTGAAAGCCCCAATCGGCTCAAATACAAGTAAGGAGGGCAGGTGGGCTCTCCAGAGCACCGCTGGAACTGAACATGGTGCCTCCAGCAGGCACCGGTATGCCTGTACTGGAGTGTACCGGTCGTATCCCATCACTGGGACATAGGTACAAACATCCGCGATGCTCCAGCTGCTTGGTGGAGCAATACACAGGCGCCGTATGCTCCGTGCACATGCGTGAAAGCCCCGACTGGCTCAAATACAGGTAAGGAGGACAGGTGGGCTCTCCAGAGCACCATACTGAAACGGTACCTGGTGCTCCCAGAAGGCACCGGTACGCCTGTACTAGAGCTTACCAGCCATATCCCACCACTGGGGCACAGGTACAAACATCAAAGTCAGTCATTTTCTTTCCAAGTTAAAACTACTTAATCACAGCAGTTTTTGCAATAACAACAACAACAACAACAACAACAACAACAAAAATAAAATCCATGCAGTACTTACTGGACCTGTAATAGCAGGATTCTGCAACCTGGGATCTTCCCACTGGGTAATTTTATTATCTGAAAATTAAACAAGAAAAATTACAACACGTTTTTCCCCCCTCTCGCATTCCATTTTTAAAACAAAAACAACCACAACCAAACAACAGATGGTCAGGTACTATCAAAGAAAAAAGGACTTTATATGTGAATATGTCATTTTAAAGAGCAGCAAGAAGGATTCAACTATCTTTGGGTTTCCTTTAGCCATCCGATTCCCGTACAAACTATCCTACAATGCAGAGACTGCATTCTGACAATGGATAAAGTATTTTCAATTGAACCATTTCAGCCAGCTGTTCTGGGCTTGTAGCAGCTGTCTGACGCTTCCAATGTTTCCAAAGTGGTTGGGGAGGGGAAAAACCCTCCATCAACGTGGAGCAATACCCCTGCACTTGGCAATTTTGAAGTCTGAATGGTTTGAATTCAACTTATTTTGCATTTGGATGGCAAACGCTTTCATGTGAACCACTAAAGAGAAAATATTTGAGTACACTGGATGCAGCTTGATTGCAATAGATTTATTACATATATTATGTGATATATTTGCAATCCCTAACCAGCACTGGCTTTTACTTGGGGTTATGGCAGTTCTACACACTGGAGGACGGCTGGATGATGGTTTGGGGGAAATTTGACTGAAGTATTCCAATTCTCCTTTTGTATTACAAAGTCCTTTAAGAAACTTTTAAGTCCTTTTCTTAAAGGTTGATTCCACCTTCTTGGTTTGCCTTTGCTTCTCTTTCCAAATTTAATTCTAGCTAGGCTCCATCCAGATAACTTTAGAGCATATCTATTTGCCTACCATTAGGGAAAAGATTTCTTTATTCTGAAATCTTTATTACAGAGAGCAGAGCAAGGTTAGGAATTTAAAGAGTGCAATAAAGAAGCAACGTAAGAATCTGGAAAAAGATTTCCCTGAATAATTTGTCATTTATTTAAAGCCCTCCCTCTATGCTCTAATTCTTTAAAACAAAATGGGGTGTTTTTTGATGGTAAAATATAAAGCAGTGGATGCTACTGTCCATGTAACGATGGAGAGGCACCTAAGCTGTCACTCAAATCATGGGATTGGGCAATCACAGGAATTCTGGGCAACTAATATAAAATTGCTTTCCACGGTTAGTTCCCAAATGCTCTCCAGCCTGGTGTTTGACTTCTAATTGCTAGTGTTCTGGCAAGATCTAATTGCATTGTTTGGGAAACACACTTTGCTACTTTTTATTCCCTAGTTATAACAGAGGCTTTTTGTTGGTTTTATACTTTTTGGCGTCTTTTCCCCCCCCACACTCTGTGTTTAAATACCTTTTAATAAGGAACCAACGACCCTTTCCCTGTGTAAATAATTTAATACCTGAGGCAATTTCTGCACGTTAACTGTTGCTGCCTACAAGGATGAGCAGAGGGGTTTGCCTTACAATATCCATTCAATTGCCTCTTCCAGAGAGATAAGAAAGAAGGAAGGAAGGAAGGAAGGATCGTTATTGTTTCCTCATCAACCAAGAAAGGTTAAGAGGATGTGGGCCCTCTTGCTAGATATAATTTGGTTACAGTGAAGAGAGACTACTGTCATTTATTTGTACTTCTCTCTATCTAGTCTAATTCAAATTTCTTATTTCATAAAGCAGATTGTATATTTTCTTAATACAATCTTTTTTATTAGGAAGCAGGTTTTTGGGCAGCCCCCACATATATATATATATGTGTGTGTGTGTGTGTTTTTATTTGTGCTGATAAATAAACTTTAAATGTGTGTGTGTGTGTGTGTGTGTGTGTGTGTGTGTGTAAAATCACATGGTTTTCTGGAGGGCATGAGATTCAAATGGATTTCTAAATACAAAGTGCATTTTTCTAGGAAAAGGCACAGCACAACATTACAACATATTGTTGACATTCAAGAAGCTACAAAGGACCTGGCTATTTTCCCAGGCTTTTTTCAAAGTGACGGTTGAGGCCCCCCCCCCTCGCCCACACTGGACGTGTTTTTTCTGATTATGTGTTGTTTTAGGGATGTTCATGATTTCTTTCTGTCTTTTGTAATTAAAAATAATAATAACTGCAAGCCATCAGGAATTCTTGGAAACTGGACAGCCTATCAATTGTATGTATGGATAAATAAATCAAAACAAAATAAAGGTAGTTCTCGACTTATAACTTAGTTGCTTAACCACCCTTTGAAGTTATGATGAACCCTCCCCAAATTCCATGTAGACCCTGGTTTAAAAGTTACAATGGCTGACACAACTTATG